GATGGATGGATTCCAGACAGATTTTTTTTTAATGCCTAAAGATAAACCTTTTATTGTTTAAAAATAAAATCAGATGTTTCATATTTTTAAAAATCAGTTTTGTCTATATAACAAATACCTTTCTTAGTTTATTTATCTCTTTAAAACACCAGAAAAGGAAGAGTATTTAGATCTTGATATGATTAAGAATAAATTTTATTTCTCTTGAAATGTTGGAGGAATAATCCAGCCTCACAGAAGGAAGAATCAGGAACCTTCTCAAGCGCAGTGGCAGGGAGGCTCCTCAGTCAGCTTGGAACTGAGTTTGCCGATCACGTAGTTCCTCTTCTGGGGCAGCAGGAGTGGTAAGAGGCGGGAAGACGGCCTTGCATCACGGTGGAGGCTGTGCTTGTGAACTTGTGCCACTTTGAATAGAGCCTATGATCTCATGCTACTTGTACTTTCTTAACAGGCTTTGGACTTCTTGCTGCTGATATTTGCAGCTGCAGTGGTGGCGTGGGCAGACCATGAGGCCCCACTTCTCCTTGGCCTCAGTGCCAGTTGGTTGCCATGGCATCGGGAGAATGGGCCTGGTGGGCCAGCAGCAGCCTTGCTTGGCAAGAGTCCGATGCATAGAGTCACCGTGCAAGAGGTTCTCACTCTCCTTCCCAGTAGCATGCTTTTGCTGCTACAGAAAGAGCCATGGAAAGAACAGACCCAGAAGGTGAGGGGTGGCAGCCACCTGTTTAGCAGGGCAGGCAGGCTTTTGTCTCCAGCAGTTGCTGCTATGGGCTGGAAGTGGGAATTAAACAAAGCTTGGATCACACCAAAGGCTTTCATACTCAGCCCCGAGTATCACTCTTACGCCATGTCCTAGAGGCTGAGGCCCGCCTAGGCTCATGGTATCTGTTGTCTAGAAGCAGCACTGATGGCAGCAACAACTCATTTATGGTGAGGGTGCAGCAGAGATAAAGCTTGTATCTTTGTTCACTTGTCGAGGGCACATGTGCTCTTGATCCTGGGTGGAAGGGATACATTTTACCTCCCAGCCTTGAAGTCAGGACACATAGACAGACAGACTCAAGATTCGGGATGGTGTGCTGTGTGGGATATGAGGTGAGAAGTAAGAGAGGAACATGGGCTCATGTCCAGGGGTGGCTCAGAGAACGTTCTAGAAGAAGTGTAGGTCTAGAGTCTTACTGTAACACAGTAAAGGGTCTGCCTGGCTTCCTCTATCTCACAGAGCCACCATGTGTACCTGGCGTAGCTGGCCTGTTCTAGAGCTTGAGCAGGGTTTTGTTACAGCCTGATGCCATCACCCCTGACCTCAGGAAAGCCCGTGTCATAGGAGGCACTTTGGGGCTTAGTCCTCAAGTGTGCAGACTTAACAAAACACATGGAAATATTGTCTCCTCTACTTGGCTTTATCCGGCTCCATCCTGTCTTTAATATAGCTGATTGGAAGATTCTTCTTTGAATCCCATTTAATCAAAACTGGATTGTTATGATATTGAAAACTTTAAACTAATAATGTGTTGCTTTTTCTTGAGATATGAAGATTAATCCTTAAAAACATTCTGAACCGTGAACCCGGCTTAGCTACACCAACCCCACTGACTGTCTCAGCTGAAGGGCCTCTCACAATTAAGTCAGATAAGAATTAAGAGGCTGTTGCAAGCTTTGAATTTTATGTTCAGCTTTTAACCCAAATAAATGTAGCCTCTTCTGTTATTTCCAGACTGGGACACTGTTCACTTTGGATATGGGATAGACATCTTAAATTGATTATATATTTGTAGTGACTGTTAATCTACTAGTAAGTTATTAAACAAACTGAGGAAGGAAAATTCACAAGCCTATTATCCTTGACCAAAATGCACATGGAACCAGTGAGAGGTAGCGTGATACAGAGAAAATAGCTTTGCAGCCAGGTAGAGCTAGGCTCAAATCTTGACCCTGCTGTTCAGAGGGATGTGACTTGGGCAAGGTCACTGACCTCTCTGAGCCTCTCAGGGTGACTAGAGACAATGTTAATGATAAACTAAAGTCCTCCGGGCCCATGTCCAGCTTACTCTGTCTGCACTAGGTCTTTGTGTATTCACTAGGGGAAGTGGGTTAGACTTCGTAAGGCCTTTTGATTTGGGAGTCATGTCACCTCTGCACCCCTCCACCCTTTAATGTTCTTCTAACACCCATCTCATTTCTACTTCTCCAGCCTCAGCAGGAATTGCTAAGAGGCTGTTGCCCTTCTCCTACTGTATGCAGGCCCAAGAGACTGGCTGAGCTCATGCTGATGGTGGGATTTACTTCACTGACAATGTTCTTTCTCACCCTAGTTCATTGACTGGCTGTTTAGTGTCATGGAAATTCCTAACGAAGCCTTTGCAGCAAAGTCCAAGGATCTTTTGAAAGGTATTACTTCATGCTTTATGCCTAACATGGGGTAAAACCACCCATTGGTGGCTGTGATGTGGAAGAGCAGAATTGGACACATGGTTTCAAAAAGTGTCCCTAATGTGACATTGCAAATCAGGAAAATGGATTAAAAAGGAGGACCAGTGCCTTTAAACTTAACTTTTAGAGAAATGGTATTAAGTATTTTATTATAATGGTAAAATAATTAAAATCTGCAAAATTCTGAAAAGTAAAAATATAGCAAACAGAAATTCAAACAGAGTTCTGTAGACAGTTTTGATGGTTTCCCTAAGTTTTTCTCCATCCTGTGTATGAGGACTCTTTTAGCATATTTGTAATGTGAAACTACTGGAAAAGTACACATAGACAGTTCTGATTTCACTTTCATGGTTTAACATTATTTTAAATCCTAGAACACATTCTCATCCTAGCTTCCAGTAATAATTGATGCTGCTTAGTGTTTTACCATGGCAACTAGTCATTGCCCATGCTATCAAGCACTTCCAGAGTTTTTTCATGGTTTCACACTTCTCCATGGACTGGCACATGTGACTGTAGGAAACCCCTACACATAGACAGTTCTGATTTCACCTTTCATGTTTTAACATTATTTTAAATCCTAGAACGCATTCTCATACTAGCTTCCAGTAATAGTTGATGCTGCTTAGTATTTTGCCGTGGGAACTAGTCATTGCCCATGCTATCAAGCACTTCCAGAGTTTTCGTGGTTTCACACTTCTCCATGGACTGGCACATTATGACTGTAGGAAACCCCAAATGTGGAAGATCTTTCTGAAAGTTTTGTAGAGTCTTAAACTCAGATATGAGGTGTGATTTGGCCCTTGGCCTCATGACTTGAAATAGCTTGTACTTGTCATGTATGTCTTGGGACTCAGGGTTCTGAAGCCAGTGGCTACTGCAATGTCCTTTGCATGTCATAAGACATTGATTGCACTGAGAACTGCCATCCCACTGGCCTACCCTGTGATGATTTATCTATCTTGGAGTCATAGTATGATGCATATTTTACTTTAAAGAAGGTGTAATATTTTTATTACTAAACAGCCAAGAATTCTGGTGAATGGGAAGCATGTAGATGGGGGTCAGTGCCTGAATGTGATTCTAATACAGCGCAGAGCTTCACTGGGAATCAGGGCTGTGATTAAGATATTTTTACTTTATCCATGTCTAGGGACTTGCTGATAAGACTCTATTTGTATGCTGCAGGGAGTTTGGGCTGGTGGTTGTTTCAAACATGTGCTATCTTCAGTTCCAAATCTAACAACTGATATCAATAAAGAAAACAATCACTTGGCTTAAGGAATCACACCTTTACTAGATTACAGTGTCATTGGCTTCCTAGAATGACCTGGGTTCCCTACATTCCTTCACATTCTTTTATTTGACATAATATCTGAATATATTCATATTCTAGACTAAGATAAGAAATATGTAATAGTTACTAAAAGATATTATTCAGAATTTCTAAAAGATATTATTCAGAATTTCTCTACTTTAAATTTCTCCTTGGGTCATATAACACAGTAGGAAATACATACATTACAGACACATGTCCAAATAAAATTTAGTGTGGTACACTTGCATCATTGAGCACAAGAACTCAGCCTTATTATAGGTGTGGAGTTTTCTCTTTAATTAAGCATTTAATGGAGTTAATCGTGTTCATGTATAAAAGAACACAAATTTAAAGTAAATTATTACAGAGGGAATATACTCATGTAAATAGTAATGGCATTAAGAAAAACAATATCACTAGCATGTCAAACATCATAGTTCTGCAAATTTTCCTATTTACAGATTTATAGGATAACTTTCAGAAAAGAAAAAAAACACCAACTACCTTTGCAACCTGTAAAACCTGTGGGGGTTTCTTTTTTGCGGGGGGGGGGGGGTTTGTGGGGGGGCGCTGTTGAAATAATAAATTCTGCTAAGATGTGGGAATCATTAGTTTTGAAGACTAGTCAAGTAGGGAAGTGCCAAGTTCTGTTTTGACACCTTTTTGATCAAAATGACCTTTTCAGCACAGCTCTGTCAAGTGCATCTGTATGCTCTGTGTTCTTGTCCTCTTAGCCACCCTGCTGTCCTTGAGAGTTCTCCCAGAGTTTAAGAAGAAAGCTGTTTGGACCAGAGCGTATGGCTGGTGACATTCTCAGGAACCAGCAGCATTCCCCGCTGAATGAGGCAGACCAGATAAACAGAAGTTTTCCATGACTGGTGTCTGAGATTGGTGAGAATTGATCCTCCCAGTTAGAGGCCATGAGAAGGTGGCTCCATACTGACATCTCAACTTGTGTGTGGCCAGGAAAGGGGTGCATTACTTGGGTACCCGGGTATTTGAAACTGAAATAAGAACATGCCTTCTCTATGTCCTGAGTTCATTGTAAAAATTTTCTTTTCTTTATGAAAACTGAATTATATTTTCTCTCCCTTAAATTCTAGTAAAATAATCTTGTGAAATTTGTGCAGTGTGACTTATTTTTAAGTGTGTGGGGAGATATTGCCAGTGAAAGCAAACTGTAGAGGTGACAAGGGTATGATGAAGCCACAGAAGAAGTCAGTGAGTTAGACAAATTTTATTCCTGTTGATAAAACACAAGAGAACTGCTAGGCACATTCAGATTGCGAGGCATGACACCGACTGGTACCCAGGTTAGGTTCATCAGCGATGGGTATAACTCCTGTGCTTGGATGTCATGAGTGCAAGAAAAAGTTCTCTCACAACAGCAGTCGCCGCAAAGGAGACTTAATTCACATTGATGTTGGTCTGATGGATCCCGTGATGCTGTGATCTGTTCCTCTGGAGACTCTGCCTCCTACTTGGCAAGGTGTCTGCCAGCAACCTCAAAGGTAAAGAAAGGTTCTTTTCCCCACAGGCACGGGAGAAGCAGCACTGGGAGAAGGACCCCAGAAGCCATGTGGGTCTCTGAACAGTATCTGGTCCTTGGCAGGTGGGATACACTCAGTGACCAGGCCTAAGTCACAGAGGAGGCAGCCCCAAGCAAACCCTCTGAACTAAGTTTCCCCAGGAGAAAGATGTAGGATGCTAGACAAGCAAAAAAGGATAAATATCTTCTCCATAGATCAGTTTTGTTTTTTTTTTTTTTATAAGTACAGCTCACTTTACTAGAATGATTCGTGGCCTAAAGGTTTGTGATAGTATCACAATTTCAGCTACTGCCATGACGAGCGACTCGGGCAGCATTTTAACTTGGATGCTCACTAATTACCGTGACTTCAACTGGGGCTCAGTCATATAAATGTACAAACAGGGAATCATTAGGAAGCAAAGTCGTGACACTGATGTCAGGTGCTTTTTGTATCTGCCATACAGACAATGCCTGGGGCTTCACAAACACCATAAAACTTCTGCTACTAACAGGTGGCACTTATCTTCTTGTCCCAAAGTGCACCTGGCAAGTTCAGAGTAGCGCTACTAATTTTATTTTCCAGATATATAATTTCTTTACAAGTTGGACTACAAGGAAATAAGTTTCAGCCAAGCGAGAAAGAGGTGGTAGCAATTTACAGCAGCTTTTTCTCATCCCCTGTGTGCTATTGTATACTCCCTACTATCTAGAAACTGAAAGTCATCTAGCATTTGCTGTTGGGTGCCAGACCATGAGTACACTAGACTTTTCATTTGCCTTAGCTTGTTTGAAGTCTTGAACAATACTATAGGGAGCATTGTTTTCTATTTTAAAATGGAACACAAATATTTAATAAGTGGGAGAGTTTTACCTGAAACCAAGGTCCTAGAGCCTAAGATCCAAAGCCTTTTCTACTGCATCAGACACCTTGGCTCCCACTCTAAGGTGCAGATCTGCTAAGAGAAGCACCAGGCCTTTGGCACTTGGAAGCTTGGGACTAGTGTAGCAAACCAAGTTCGTGTGCATGCATTAAAGAGCTCTGGATTCCAGAGTACCTTGAAAATACAGGAGACAATGAGCCCTGAAGAGGAAGTGGGCACTGTAGACATCATGAATCAGCAACTAAACATTTGCTGATGCCCAAGGAAAGGAAGAATCTGCCTAGACTTCAGATTTCAGATTTCTCATGGCTTTTCAACCTAATTTCTTCTCAAACCTGGTATTTCCTCCTGTCCTTCACGAGAAAACAGAAGCTTACAAAAAGAAGGAAATAAAGTAATCCTCAGTCCTCTTAACTAGTTCTTTCTGCTTTGAGCAGTCATGGATGGAAGTCATGTGGTTTTCTGCTGATTGGACCTCTAAGGATTCCAAATTAGTGACTCTAAAGAGTAAACTCAAAGGTATACCAATGAAATAATAACCTGCCCCTGGTTAGCTGTATGACCCCCATGTAAGAGTTACATTGTTCCACCAAGATGCTCGCTCTCCGCTTTTACACAAGCAAGCTGCTGCTGCTTTTTTAGACCATGTTCTGAACTACATAAAGGAAGTCTTTGTTTCAAGTCCTCTCTTGTCAGATCTTGAAAACACAAGTTGCCAAGACAAATAGTATTTGGGGATGCACCCGGGTAGGGTTAAACCTACATTGTGCCTTAAGGAGGTATCCAAACACAGATTGGATTTGAAAAGTATGCATTTGGCAAAGATGTGGGTATCTGTGCAATTATCTAAAATCATGTTACAGTAATAATGTAATAACTCCATAGTAACCAAGGGGCTGCTAAAAACATCTTATGACGAATTAGTAGATGTTAACTTCTTTTGGAGTGGAAGTATTTGGAGATGGGCTTTGGGAAGTAAGTAGGGGTGAAGAGGGAGCCTTTCTGAAGATTAGTGAGTTCACAAGAAGGGACTTGGGAGAGGTGTTTTCTTTCTCTACCATGTGGGCACACAGCAAGGAGGCATCCATCTGTATCTCACACTCAAGAATCAGTTGTCACTTGCTATCTTGGTATTGAGCTTTTTGATTTCCAGAATCACTCAATTTAATAGTATTTTGTTGCAGCAATCCAAACTAAGAGAGCAGTGGATAACAAGAGGCGAGGCACCACTGTACTCAGAGCGTAAATGTGGAGAAGCAGCTTTGAAGTTAAGTAGAAGATGGAAGAGTTTTAAGATGCTGAGATCATCTTTTAGGGTTTGATAAAAGTGATTGTGGTCAGAGCTGAGGAAGAAAGGACATCTGGAGTGGAAGCCTCGTTTTCTTAGAGAACTCATCATCACACAGATTCAGGCTGATAAGTTGCCCCTATGTGACTTAGGAGGCAGCTCTGATCATCTTTGATTCACCCTTCCCTGGTCTTAGAAAAGAATATATATATATGTGTGTGTGTGTGTGTGTGTGTGTGTGTGTGTGTGTGTGTGTGTGTGTGTATATATATATATAAAATGTACGTGTGTGTGTGTGTATCTCCAAGAGCACAAGGGGCCATTCTGTCAAGTTCTAAGAAATCCAACTGTCTTCCTATCTCTATTAACTACAGCTCAGACTAGCAGTGTTCCTGATAGAGTAGCTGATCAGATCTACAGTTCACATCTATGCTAACCTTACTGAATTGGCTAGCATCTTGCTCTTGGACATCCAAGCCTCCAGAACTGTAAAACATAGATTTCTATAGTTTTGCAACCAAGTCCTATGGGAGGGGATTGCAATTTGTGATATAGCAGTGGCCTGAGCTAAGTCACAGAAGATGTTTGATAGGCATCTAAATATATGTAATGTTCAAGGTGATTGGCTCTAAGGGCAGGGGCATTTGTCTGCAGAGTATCTAAGTAGATGTAATGTTCAAGGTGATTGGTTCTAATGGTGCGGCATTTGTCTATAGAGTATGTTATCCTAGAATTAAAGAGGATACTTTACAGCGTTCCTGTCCTATAAATCTGCTAGTTGTTATTGCAGAAGTTCATCAGTTGGTTTCTCAGTCAATTGAACTTACTCCACTGAATCTATTTCTCATTAACTTTACACGAAAACATTCAGACTTCACGCAGTATAAATGTAACCTGTGTGAAGTCCACAGCCTTGGTGTAGCAAAGGTGTGCTGTGCCTGTTGAAGATTTGTTCGTAAAGCACAGTAGATGTGGAACAGAATCCATGTAATAGATTATTGTTAAGTTCTCTGTTCTTTTACTCTAGCATATACCAGTGTTGTGTTGGCTGCAGGCTGACCCACCAGCCCATCTTCTCTTTTGTGCGATGGGCAGGGATGCTGCCTCACATTTTCTTCTGTTTGGCAGAAATGACTCTGAGGACATCTTTTCTTTCTGTGTAAAGATGGCTGTAGGTGAAATACATACCTATGGTGCAAAAGAAAGTGAGGTTGGTTAACCATTTCTTTGAAAAGATCTGTGGTTTTAGGACACAGGGAGAGGGCCGCTTGAGTTCTAGGAGCAACAGCTGCAAGGGATGCTCAAGCAAAGCACATGAGGAACTGTGCAGATTTTACATGGAAGGGGAATGCAAGCACACGCTTCTGTCCGACTCATCTACCCCTCCCCTCCCCCACTTCTTTGATAGCTTTCTTTACAACCTCTAAACTGTCGTGTTCTTTATTTGGATATGCTATTCTTACACTTGAGAACTGTTCTCTCTCAGACATGGTTATGATCCTGATAATTTGTGAAGGGTAAATAATAGAAGTCTTTTTCCCAGTTTCCTGGAAAACAATGTTAGTTGATTAAGTTTGTTCAAATATAACTTTCTACTAGCCCACACTACATTTGATTAAATTACTTTTAAATAGCTTTACTCTTTGGTTGCAGATTTCCTATATGCGTTACTGTATATATTAATGGGTTCAGTGTGGTTCTTTCCACACGTGCATGTGGCATGCACGGATCAAATCTCACCTCCCTTCTGCCACTCTTGCAGCCCCTCAGGACCACAATTCAATTTTCATGTCAGTTTTTAAATTTTCACATGTAAGAGAGAACATTCTGGCTTGTTTCACATGCCCTCCATTTCCATTCACGGCCCTGGGATAACAGGAATTATTGGCTAAATGCCCCACCGTGGGATCGTGCACCACATTTCCTCTGCCCATCCATGTTGACAAACTCCTGGGCTGGTTCCTGATCTTTCTGTTGTAAATAGTGCCACAGTCATCACGGGTATGCCTTCCCTTTCATCGCCTGCTAACTTCACTTCCTTTTGTCCTCTCTGGGGCGGCTGGATCAGATGGTAGTTCTATTTTTACCTTTTTTGCGGAACTTGCACACTGCTGCAGTAGTAGCCACACTATTGTGTGTTCCCAACAACAGGAGTTTCTTTTTCTCGACGTCCTCACTACCATTTGTTTGTGTTGTTGTTTGACTGATAACAGCCAGTCTGACTGGACTGAAATGGTAGCTCATTGACTGTGTGTCCCTGATGGTCAGTACAATGAAACGTGTTTTTCAGAGTCATTAACTGTTTAAACGTATCCAGATCTATTCAGATCACAAACCCATTTTCTAGTTGTCTGACTTATTTCGTATAAATGTTTGGAGGTCTCTGTGTCTCCTGAGTACTTGGCAACTGTTCTCTGCCCCTCTGCAGATTGTCCCTTTGCTCTGTCATTTGCCTTGCTGGGGAGAAGCTTACTAATTTAATGTCATCTCATTAATCTCGTTAATTCTTCCTTGTGTTTCCTGAGCTGTTGACATCTTATTCAAGGAATTATCATTTGTACCATATCCTGAACTCCTTCAGTGGTACTTTCAGAGTTTCGGGTCTTACATTCAAGCATTTGATAGTTTGAGTTGATTTCTGTGTAGGGTAAGGGTCCGGGTCGTGTGTCAGTCTTCTGCATGTGGATATCTTGTTCTCCCAGCACTCTGTGTTTCTTTCATGTATATTGTTATTGTTGGCATGTTTCTTTCTTTTTCTTTTTTTATTGGCCTTTTATGCCATTGCCACACTGCTTACTACTGATCCTTGTGTCTTGACATTGGCTGTTGGGATGGCTCCAGCTTTGTTCGTTCTGCTTTAGGGTCTTTGGGGCTTACATACTAATTTCATGGGTTTTGTTGTTCTGGGAAGCGTGTTATTTATTGTTTTATTCTTTTTAAAATTATTTTCTTAAGAGCTTATGTGTGACTAGGTGTTTATAGTACTTGCACATGTGTGTGCTGGTGCGTATACCATGTGTGCACTGGTGCGTATACCATGTGTGCAAACGTGTGGCCAGAGGAAGCTCTCGCCTATATCACTCCCTGCCTTATTCCACTGAGACAGGGTCTCTCATTGAACCTGGAGCTGGGCTAGCAGCCAGCGAGCCCCAGCAGTCCTCTTGCTCCTACTTCCACCAGCCCCAGAGGTATAGGTGTAGGGCCACACCCAGCTTTTTGGTGGATGCTGGGGATTCAAATTCAGGTCCACATGCTCATAGAGCACAGCTGTTACCCACTGAGTGATGATTTCAGTCCTCAAAATGTCAACAGTTTAGTTGGAGATTGCATCCCCAGATCACTGAGCAATATGGACATTTAATGACTTCTGCCAATCCATGAAAATAGGCAGTCTTCCCATCTTTTAGTAGCTTCAATTTCTCTCCCAGTGTTCTGTAGCTTTTTTGTAGAGGAATTGTACTTCCTAGTTTGTTCATAGGTATGTTTTGTGGTTATTGTGATTTAGATTTCATTCTTAAATTCTTCCTTAGCAAATCCATTATGTGTGGAAGGGCTTATTTAAAAATGAAAACTAGAAGCATAAAGTCCTAAGTAGACAGAGTTGTTCTGAATGGACTTTGAGTCAGGGAAGGCTGTGGAGTATGTATGTCCAGCTTAGGTGCTGCCCACATGAAAAGCTTTCCCTGCTGGTTCTGTCCTACTACTCAGTCTGTGTCTCTCTCCTAGTAGTTCTGGTGAAGTCTTTAGTTGTCCCCCCAACATGCCCTGTTATTTTTTGTTTGCTTTGCTTTGTTTTTAAGACAAGGTCCCACTCTTGTTCAGGCTGGCCTCAAACTGACAACTTCCTGTGTCATCCTCCCGAGTGCTGAGATTTCAGGTGTGAGCCACCATCCCCAGTGGTAAGATTTTTCTGTGCATCTGCAGCAACATGGATAATTGAACTCCCTTCTTTCCTATGTATCTGCCTTTCCTTCTTCTTGTCTAATTGCTCTGACTAAAATGAATAGGACACTGAGAAAGAGCAAGGAGAGTGGACATCTTGTCTTATTCCTGATAATAGAGGAAATACTTTTTCAGCATTCAGTATATTAGTTGTGGGTTTGTCATGCATAACTTGTTCTTGTATTTTATCATGAATAGATGTTGAACTTTATCAAATGATTTTTCTACTTCTACTCACATAAATTTTATATCTATGGTAGTTTATTGATTTATAGAGGCTGCACCATTTTTGCATCTAGGAATGAAGCCTATCTAATTATAGTGTATGATCTTTCTACATACTTACTAGTATTTTGTTGAGGAGTTCAGCATCTATGTTGATTGGGACTGTTGGTCTATAGCTCCTTTTCATTTACTATTAAATTTTGGTAATGCTGGCCCAAATGATTGCCCATTAATTTGAGAAGAATTGGTACTAGTTACTCTTGGTAAAATCTTGGTAAAATTTAATTGTGAAGCCATCTTATGCTGGCTTTTCTGCATTGGGAGATTTATTACTCGTTTATTACTCATTACTAGCATATCCAGGTTTTTCTATATCCTGTTAAATTTCTCTATCCTTTTGGTTGAATTTTAGTAGGTCTTTTGTATCCAGAAATGTTTCCATTTTCCAATTTGTTAATGGGTAGTTTTTTTTTTTAATAACCCCAACTGATCTTCTGCATTTCTGTACTGTGGGTTGTAATGTCTCTTTTTAACATTTCTAACTTCATTTCTTTGGCTCTTCTATTTTGGGCAGTTATTATAACTGAAAAGTTTATCCACTTTTTTTTGTCCTTTCAAGGAAATAACTAGTTTTATTTCATTGACCCTTGGTATTTCTTATTTTCTGTTGACTTCTGGTCTGATTTTTATTTCTCTCCATACAGTTATTTGGGATTTGGTTTATAATTGCTTTTCTTAATCCTTGATATGCATGGTTAAGTTGTTTCTCTGAAATACTTCTGTTTTTTATGTTTTTACATTGTTCTTGGTATTGTTTTTGATATATCCCACAGGTTTGGGATCCTATATTTCTATTGGTTTCAACAAATTTTTCTTTTGGACTTCCTCAGTGGCCTTCTGTTTGTGGGAGAAAGGGAAAGCAGGGTGTGGCCAGCACCTAAGTTTCTTTGTGGTCCTCTTTGGGCCATGTGCCCTGTCAACCAGAGCAATAGCTGACCCTTAGCATTGCTTAAGGCCGCTGCAGTTTACCCCTGGGGTCAGAAAAGCATCAGAACCACAGAAGTCTTGTCTTACCCTGTAAGTGGCAGGCGCCCATGCTTGTATGTGTGGGGAGGGATGGTCGGCCCCAGCACTGCTAAGATTCTACACTCTACTGACCATACCCTGGTCTCAGAGGGCAAGCTGTCTAGTCCCCTGTATTCAACACGGCTTGCTGGGACTCTCTTCACTCCCCCTCACTCAGAAGAGGATTCCTCCCTGCCTAGTAGTGTAGATAGCATGGCAAGTTCTCAGGTTTTTGTGTCTATTGCTATGCCAGGGTTGTTTGTTGTTGTTTTTTAATATTACAGTGTTCTAGTTTCACCCCATAATTTCTTGCACTCTCCCAAAATGCAGTTCCATACCTATTGCTTGTGTTTTCTTTGTGGAGCAAAGTGCTGATGCCTATACTCAGTCATCTTGAAATCCCACACAAGTATAACTTTGTGTATGTGTTTGTTTTGTTTTTGAGACAGCATCTCTCTCTGTGGCCCTGCCTGGCCTGGAACTCACTATGTAGATCAGGCTGGCCTCCAACTCACAGAGATCTACCTGCCTCTGCTTCCCAAGTGCTGAGATTAAAGGCATGTGTCGCTAAGCCTGGCTCAAGTGTACGTTTTATGTGTGTGTAAGTGTTTTATCTGCATGTATATATGTGCACCACATACATGCCTGCTGCCAGAAGAGAGGGTGTGGATCTCCTGGAACTGAAATTATGGATGGTTCTGAGCTTCCATGTGGAAGCTAGAAACTGAACCCAGGTCGTCTATAAGAGCAGCAAGTGCTTAAGCACAGAGCCATCACTCCACTCCCTCCCCACAAGTGTAAGTTTTTGTTCTCAGTTTTCTTTGAGCCTTTATCACCAACTTTCTATTTGCCTCCTAGGGAGCACTGGCATGTAAAGCCAAACAGAAAACAAAATGGGTATAAATGAAAAAAATAAAAATAGATAATCCTTCTGTTGGGCATTGTGTTTTACAGGTTATGTCTTTGTGGTCAAAAAATGTCTGCGTCCCATGCATCTTGCAAGCATCTTCTCTGCTAGTAGCATTGTTCTTGCTGTAACAGTGAAATTTTGTAATACTTGATTTCACGATGCCCCAAAAAGCATCAAGGGCCTTAATCAGACTATCTAGTTCATTGTGTGTGGGGGCTTCCTTTTTAGTTCTCCCCATACTTACCAATCTGTTTAGGACAATGGCAGCATAAACCACAAGAAGAATGCGAAAACAAAATATCTACTTACCTATGAAGAGCACCAGGAGATACAGCTTGAGCACATAAGGGAAACAGGTAGATATGTCCAACGGCAGCACGGTGGAGTTGGCGCCAAATGATTCAAAATAAGGCAGTGACTGATAGATGGTAAATGCTGTTTAAAGATAGAAGGGTGGTAAAGGTTCCCTTTCTGAGTTACAGGGTTGAGTGTGCACACATATCTTTAATGAAGGAGATTTGTGAATCGGCAACAACAGCTTTGTAATGATTGCTGAATCCTTTAGTGAAAGCTGCAACTTGATATAGAAATCTATGGAATGATCATGTTGCTTAAATTGTTCCAGCATTCTGACTCAGTAAATTATTGCCCACTGTGTACCTGCTGTTGAACCCACACATTTCATGCTTACATAGAAAGACTGTATAGTGCTTCTTAAAATGATGACTTTAAAAGTACATCTGTCTCCTTGCTCACAAACGGGGAGACAGTCGGGTATGGAAAGTGCTACATCTGTTTTCCTCTTGGAGTTACATGACACGTGTTTAACAGTGAAGACTCTGAGAGGTTCTGCAATAATGAAACGGCCCTCCCAGCATTTTGGTGCTTTGACTGGCCTTAGAATGTCTTTTTTCTCCTCTGCCCTAGAAGTACTTACTGGAGCAACTCTGTGAGAAATGCTGACCTAAATTATTCTGTGGGAAGAGGCTAGTTTAGTGTTAGATACATATAGAGGATCCATGAAACTAGATCACATGTGTACATTTTTAAAATAACATTCCTGCAGTAAAATGGCTTCTATAGTTATCTAAGCTGCTGCCATCTGAGGAAGGGAAGTAAATGTCCTTAGATTTTTTACTTTATGTGTATCAGAGTTTTGCCTGCATGTATGCAAGTACACTACATACATGCAGTACCTGTGGAAGCCAAAAGAGGGTGGTGGATCCTCTGGGACTAGAGTTACAGACAGTTGTGAGCTGCCATGTGGGTGCCAAGAACTGAACCCACGTCCTCTAGAAGAGCAGCCACTGTTCTTAACTGCTGAGCTTAACTCCAGCACTGTGAGGCACTGTTTTTACAGTTTCCTTTTAGTCTGAAGTTGTTTCAAAATAAAAAGGGGTTGCAATGCGATCAAGTCAGGAGCTGAAGCAGATGGATAAGAGATGAGTGGCCTTGGTGCAGGACTGCCAGTGGACACCAAACATGCCATTAAGATTAACCAGGGTTGCCTCCAAGTCTCAAGCATTCTGACAGACGAGTGATAGCTTGGGTATTTATATGAGCTTTATTTACTTGTTGAATTTATCAGACATGAAAATTACAGCTTTAAAATTAAATAAGAGTTATTAACTTTATTAAAAGTTAAGTAGGTTTCCCTCCCTGTCTAGTTTTATACTCTGGAACATTTGACACATGCAAAGGAAAGATCACAGGCACCTTCTCCACTGTCTGGAGTTAGTCATCATTAACACTGTGTCATGTATGTGCCTTGATTGTCTTCTGCTGATACTTTGGGGAGAGTAAGTTTACAGTCTAGTAAAAGGGGAAGGCGTTGTGTGGCATTCATATCAAAACAAGCTTCCTTCAAAAGGCTTAAAATTATGAACACCAAGAATAGAAATGTTTCTTGTATACTTATTCATCCTTATTTTTAGGGAAAGAGTCCATTATATAGTCTTTAGAAAAAAACTTACTTTGCAAGTATAGTTTTAATTAACAAGTCATAATGTATGTATTTATGGATCATGGTGTGATATTTTGATATATGTGTACAACGTGGAATGATGAAAGCTAGTATTCAACATCTCATTTTTGTAGTGAGATAACTAAATTTCCTCTTTTGGAACGTACGCTATTATTGGCTATACTCACGTTGGTGTACATATCTTACAATTATATTTCTCCTGATGTAAACCTCTTACCCTTTCCAATATCCAGTCAATTTTATGTTCTTTATAGTATTTCCATATGCCAAGACAAATAAATGCACTTAGCAAATATTCCATGAATGAGGAATTTCATTCTTAAATTGGGTGACTGAGTTTTTTGCTGTTGTTTTTCAATGGTTTGTATATTATTATTCTCTAAATTCTCTGAATATTCCAAATTTTAAAAATAAAAGAAAAATTAAAATTCTGATTTATTGTCATTGGTAAATAGAAAACATGTGGTTTTCTTTTATATACTAGTCTTTATATACTCATGATTATTATTGACAACAGCGCTCTCTTTATAATGTCTTTGTTTTCCTGTAGTTCCTTTAACATGCATTTTGCACTATTTAAAACCTCTAATCTTGACTTTCAGAAGAAACTCCCTGCAGCCTGTCAAATCCACTACTGGGGGAGCGTTTGTTCTTTGCTTAGCCTCAAGTTCTTTGAAAACTGCTTACTTCAGTTATTTAATTTTCTTTACTAATACAGCCAGTAGTTGATCTGCTGTTTGTTGGGCATGTATTCCGGTGCATATGAGAAGGGAAAGAAACAAAAGGCCAGGCTGAGTCCTGTGTGTGCTCATGGAACTAGGCCAGTGAGGGACATGGACATGCAACCAAGAAGCATACAAATGTCTAGTTGCAGCTGAGATGTGCCCTATAAAATAATAATCCGTGGTGCTGTACTGGGGAACTACCTTAATTGAAAAGTTGGAGGCCTCCCTCTGAAAGTGGAGACTCTTGTGAGGATGGTCAAAAAGTCACTGGCAGAAGTAGGGTGTTTAGAAGGTGGTGAGAAGCACTCTAGCCAGAGATGACCAAATTTCTAAGTATTAAAAAAATTAAACTCTAGCTTCTCTACCTGTTAAACTCAGTTTGGGTATGTCCACAGACTTGGGGGTAAAGTGAGTTGCCCCAAATTCATAGTTAACGAAGGTAAGGACCTGGATGCCGGTGCTTGTTTCTAGCCCAGTATGTTGTACCCTGTGCAGGGCCACCTCCACCTTGAACTTTAGTGCTTGTGCTCTCTCTCTCTCCTCTCCTATCCTCTCTCTCTTCCTCTTTATCTTTTCCTTCCTTCCTTCCTTCCTTCCTTTCTTCCTTCCTTCCTTCCTTCCCTCCCCTCCTCACTTCCCTCCTTCCCTCCTTCCCTCCTTCCCTCCCTCCCATCTCAGTCTTTGAGACGTGGTCTGCCTATGTATCCTTGCCTGTCCTGGAACTCTATGTAGACCAGGCTGGCCTTGGTATCTCTGCCCTCAGAGTTACAGGTGTATACCACCACACCCCAGGGAACTTTGCTTCGTAATGATTTGCTTCTTTGAAGCAAGGAAATAGACTGGTAAGCCAAGTACTACTAAAAAAAAATAGCAGTTTCATCATCAAAAAATTTAGTGATCAATTAGAGATCAAGGGCTGTAACAGTCAAAAATATAACACAGGACTCTTACCTTCGGCAAGAACACACAGAGGGTAAATTGGCATCCACAGTGTTTGGCTGAGCCATGTCAAGACAGCGTAAGATATTCCTATGACTGACAGCATGCTGTATGTGTATCTGGAAGGAAACAGGTGGTTCATAAGAATCTTTTGTTGCTGCTGTCTGGAAAATAAGAGAAGATATCTTCCTACAAATTAAACACTGGAATAAAACTGGAAGTATGGGAATTACATGCTTTATTTCCTATAATTTAAGCAAGGACAGGTAAAAATGATGTATCATGGGATGGGGAACCTATGTCTCCCTGGCTTATCTCAAGGGGTGAATCATAGATAATTATACAACTGAACAGAACAGGAATGCAGCTCTTTCCTCCTTCCAAGAAATAACAGTTATAAGCTTGCATGATTAATGACTTCAATTTTATTTAAAAGCCAAGCTCATTTTGTGCAACAACAGCTTCTTGAAAAGATAGACCTATTTGCACATATTGTAAAGGGTGAATTTATTAGAACACAACTCCTAAATTCATATCTGCCATCCTCTGTGTCTACTGCTTTGCCCCATTATACAATCAGAACTGGTCTTGGGAGCAGGTTTGGGGTACAGTAGGTTAACTTTAAACCTGTTAGTGCAAAATATTTGATGTACGTTTATTTATATGAATAAGCCAGTGGTGTCTACACCTCACCACACGTCAGATTACCCAGATTACCCAGATGACCTGTTGACTCACAGATTGCTTTTCCTTTCTTTCCTCTGTATTCAGTTCAGGATCTTAGCCCATGAGATGATACCACTCCCATTCAGGGCAGTTCTCCCTCAGCTGAACTCCAGAATCTCATAGAAACACCTGAAGGTGTGTCTCCTTAATGCCCTAGGCATCCTGTTAAGTTCTCAGTATTAACCACACAGTAACTAATAATCCAGCTCAAGTTATCTATTTATTTTCTTTTGTTGCTTGTGGTTTTGGTGTCCTGGTTAAGGGTACATTGCCAAATACAACTTCATCTTTTGCATGCAGTATCCAGTTATCCTGTTACTGTTTGTTAAGATGATTCTTTCCTCCATTGAATCTCATGGGATCTTTGTCAAAACTTAACCTAAACTACAAGAGTTTATCTCTGAACTGTTAAATCTATCCTCTGATTGGTCCATATAGTAGTACCACACTCATGATCAGTGTTGCTCTGTAGTAAGTTCTGAGTTGAGGAGAAGAGTGAGACCAAGTGTGTTCTTATAAAGGTTTTGACTCATCTGAGTTCAGGTTTCTATGTGAATTTTAAGATCAGCCTCTCAATTTCTGCTACAAACCCAATTTGAGACTCTAACAGGGCTTTCAATGACTGCAGATTTGATTTGGGAGTATTGCCACCTTAACAATATTAAGTCTCCAATATGGAATGCCCTTCTTATCAAGATCTTTATTGTGTAAGGTCTGCTTATTTTTGTTAAATGTATTCCTGCATACTCCATTTTGTTGAAAGTTATCATAAACAGGATTGTTTCTGTTATTTTCATTTTCAGATAGTTCACTTAAAATAGATAGAAATACACTGATTTCTATTGGATCTTGTGTTGTACAACTCAGCTAACCTTGTGAATGCCTTTTACATTTTTTTCCTAATTGCTGTGTCTAGAAATTCCAATACAATGTTGAACAGTATGGATATTCTTATTGCGTTCTTAGGAGGGATGCATCCCTCTCATCATTAGCTCACATGGTAGTTGTGGCCTTTTCACAGGTACCTTTAATGGGCTGAGTAAGATTCTTGTTGGTTATTTTCTTTAAACAAATTATTTCACATAGATTGAGATGATATTTCCATCCCCATTTTGCAGAAAGAAAAACTATCAAAAGAAGAGCCCAGGGGTTTTACTACTGGCTATGAGGAAAACAAAAGCTTGTGCATGTGTGCTCATAGCAGTATTTCTCATTTCCAAAACATAGGAATAATACAAGTATGCATCAACTATGTGGATAACCCAAAAGTATTATGGTGATACAATGGAATATTATTCAGCCACAAAATGCCACAAAATAGCATTACCTGCTACAACACTGTATAAACCTTGTGAACATTATTCCAAGTAAAAAAGTAGCTAGTAACAAAAGACCACATATTTGGTGACTCATTTGTATGAAACACAAAATAGGAAAACCCATAGAGATAGTATGAGAATGGTTGCCAGGGCCTGGGGAAGGAGGGAATCGGGAGTGATGTGTACATATGGGTATGGTATTTCTAATGGGTGATAAAATTGTTCTTTGGCTGAATAACCATGATGGTTGTACATCTTTGAATATACAGAAACTCACCCATTTTATATTTTAAAAAGTTAAATTTGTGGTAGGTAAGTTATATCACAATAAAAACTGTTATTTACAAAAAGTTAAATGATGCCCAAGATTATATAGCAAATAAGTAGTGGGCGTGGGTTCCATCCTGCTGTGTCCTTTATGTCCCCAAATCATTCCATGATAGTTTGCTACCACTTTCAAGATGAAAGTCATGTTGTTCTGTTGAGTCTATGAGAATTGATGCTGAGTTGGACAGAATCATATTCTAATATATGTGAAAGCTGTGGTCCCTAGCAAGGAACTAATGCCTTGTATAAATAGGAAGTCACAGGCTACAAAAGTCCTTGTCTAAAATTCTATTTTTAAAACATTAAATAGCTTACTAAGTACACTACAATTTTTCCTAAGACTCAACCCACTGTTGGGGCTATATTTTTAACTCAGCCAAGTTATTGACAGTAGAATAAAAACAGATCTACACAATCTCAGCCCAAAAGTCAGGACTCTTTAGGGACTATTCCCATCCAGATCTTTGGAGCAGCAGTCGTTTCAGGGGATGCCATAAAAGAACTAAGTTAGCCATTGGATCCCACCAGAGTTATGTACAGAAATGAATATGGGGGTACATTATTCCCAGAGAAATGAAGTCCTAATATAAAATATTCCTGAAGTCACAGAAACCAGTTGTTGTAGATTGCTTCTCTTTGATATGATAAAATACTGACCCAAACCAGCTTAGTGTAAGAAAGACTCCCAGGCCATAATCCATCACTGAAGGAGTCAGGGCAGGACCTGAAGCAGTGACCAGGAACACTGCTTGCATATTTGCTTCCAGGCCCACAGTGGGATGGTCCCTCCTCCATAAATTAACAGTCAAGAAAATGCCTCCACAGCCAGTCAGATAGAGGCAATTCCTCAGTTGAGGTTCCTCCCCTTTCCAGGTGTCAGGCTGACAACTGAAGCTATGACACCAGCTTTGGGTTCTGACAAGTAATGAAAGTCCTGTTTTTTTTTGTTTTTTGTTTTTTGTTTTTTTTTTTGTTTTTGTTTTTTGTTTTTCGAGACAGGGTTTCTCTGTGTAGTTTTGCGCCTTTCCTGGAACTCACTTGGTAGCCCAGGCTGGCCTCGAACTCACAGAGATCCGCTTGGCTCTGCCTCCCGAGTGCTGGGATTAAAGGCGTGCGCCACCACCGCCCGGCGAAAGTCCTGTTTTGCTTATTAAAATAATGCATGTTAGAGCAATAAGTGCCTTATATTAGTACATAGTTGTGAGGTCATTCCAGGTCAGTATCCTGACAAAGCCTCATTCTGGAAACCTGAGAGTTCAGATTTGCATTTGGAATACCAAGATTGGTTTTCATTTTCCTTGATATATCCATTACAGGAAGCCCTACCTATACATTTCTATTTCAATATAAAACAGTTTGCAAAGAGTTGTTTTTCTGTCTCGTTCATAGTAACTAATGTGAACAGCTATTACTCATTTCACTAAAGCAATTTTTCCTTGTTTTAACAGATTGATGGATTATTGAGACAGGGTCTCACTACGTAGCCCTGGCTGACCTCGAATGAACTGTGTAGGCCAGGCTGGTCTTGAACTCACTGAGATCTACCTATCTTTGCCTCTGAGATTAAGCATGTGCATCACCATGCCTGCCATGGCCAGCAGTTTTGTTTACTTACCTTACCATATCCAGTAGATTCCAAAAGATGAATAAAACACACACCACATATTTCTCTTGGATTTCCTCTTGACTGGTGATCACCCCAAAAAGAATGACCACTCTCTCCGTGAGCTAATAAAAACACATGGAGAAATAGGATCATCTGTTAGGCCATTTAGGTAACATTCCAATTTTATTTATTTCTTTTATTATTTCTTTATTTTATAATTTAATTTAATTTTACATATCAGCCACGGATTCCCTTGCCCTCCTCCCTCCCGCTCCCCCTCTCGCCTTCCCCCAGCCCACTCCCCATTCCCATTTCCTCCAGGGCAAAGACTCCCCTGAGGATTGAGCTCAACCTGGTAGATTCAGTTCAGGCAGGTCCAGTCCCCTCCTCCCAGGCTGAGCCAAGTGTCCCTGTATAAGCCCCAGGTTCCAAACAGCCAGCTCATGCACTGAGGACAGGACCCGGTCCCACTGCCTGGATGCCTCCCAGACAGATCAAGCTAATCAACTGTCTCACTTATCCAGAGGGCCTGATCCAGTTGGGGGCTCCTCAGCTATTGGTTCTTAGTTCATGTGTTTCCATTCGTTTGGCTATTTGTCCCTGTGCTTTATCCAACCTTGGTCTCAACAATTCTCGCTCATACAAACCCTCCTCTTTCTCTCCAATTGGACTCCTGGAGCTCCACCTGGGGCCTGGCCATGGATCTCTGCATCTGGTTCCCTCAATCATTGGATGGGGTTTCTAGCATGACAATTGGTGTTTGGCCATCCTATCACCAGAGTAGGTCAGTTCAGGCTGTCTCTCGACCATTGCCAGTAGTCTATTGTGGGGGTACCTTTGTGGTTTTCTGTGGACCTCTCTAGCACTTTGCTTCTTCCTATTCTCATGTGGTCTTCATTTACCATGGTCTCCTATTCCTTGTTCTCCCTCTCTGTTCTTGATCCAGCTGGGATCTCCCGCTCCCCTAAGCCCTCTTTTCCTCAACCCTTGCCCTTCATTAAACATTCCAGTTTTAAAAACCAGGGCTTTGGGCCGGGCGGTGGTGGCGCACGCCTTTAATCCCAGCACTCGGGAGGCAGAGCCAGGCGGATCTCTGTGAGTTCGAGGCCAGCCTGGACTACCAAGTGAGTTCCAGGAAAGGCGCAAAGCTACACAGAGAAACCCTGTCTCGAAAAACCAAAAAAAAAAAAAACCAGGGCTTTGTTTAAAAGAAATGCCTTAACTGGAAGTACATTTTCTAAACTACTAACAGTGGCTGTCTCTGAAAGAGCTGGGCTCTGGGTGAACTTAATTTCCTGCTTTTTGTTTGTTTGTTTTTCCATACTTTTCAAATTATATATAATGAAACAAAGATAACAGTTCACCTGAGTCAACACATTGCCTCTCTTCTTGACATACACACATTTTTTTTGTTCACTTTGGCAAACTTGTACATGAATGTCCACTACAAATTAGATGGTACCATGAAATCGATCCTTCCTCCAGAGTTAGTGGTGGGGAAGGTAATTATCGTGCAGTATGTGGAGGAGGGAAGCACAGTTAAGGAAGGGGATACTTGCTGCTGGAGAAGAGGATGCAGAGAGGTTCATGAAGGTAAGCGACATTTCAGCTGCCTCTTGATGAATGGGTTGGAGTTGTCAAGTAGAGTGGATATGAGAAAAGGCACCCTAGACACGAGCAGCCCATGCAGAAGCAGCAGTGTGACAATGGGAGGTGCCCCCGGGGAAGGAGCAGGAGTCACAGAGAGACCAGAGTGAATGGCATGGAGAAGGAAAAATGGGAAAGGAAATTGAAAATGTGTTTGGGTCTGGGTTGTAAAGGGTTTTGAATGACAGGCCAGGAATTTCCATTTTAACCAATAGAGAAGCCACTGTAATTCTTTTCTTTTTGCAGGGCAGTAATATAACCCTAACCCTCCTAAGCCAGTGGAAAATGGAAAGAATTTAACACATTCTTGGAATATATGTTATATATGCCAAGTTACAAGCATCTAAAGATCATTGAGAATTCACACATTTTTGGCTTATCTCCAATTACCAGCCTAAATAAAATACAGTCCTCATTCCCTACAAAGTATAAAGTGCCCTGTGTTATATTAACATAGCCTGCACAGTCTACATTTTTGTGTTGAATAGGGCATTTCTCTTTGCTCTCAGTGGTCAGAAGGTAGACTTGAGATTGATGGAGCATATTGGTGCCCAAGGAAAAGAAAATACAAAGGGGTTGATTTGTCATTTCTCATAGCCGTCTTTATTTTTTCAAGCTGATCTCTGGGATAATCCACAACAGAATCACGGGCTGTTAGTGTAAAAAAAAAAAAAAAAAAAAAAAAAAAAAAACCCAAGATTTGCCAAGAGCAGTGCACATGATCAGAAATCCACATGTATAAGCTATGTCAGCGTGTCTATGAATACAGAGGTGAGTCAAGAGGGCCCTTGCATGGCTAAGGGGAATTAGACATGATTCAAACTTAGTCAGTCTATGGGAGTTATCCCCAAGGCTCATTTCCCTTGGTCAGTTTTTAAGATATAATGATCTGGTTTCTTGATTTAACTTGATTGTGTCTATATGAATTCTTCTAAACTGCAATTTAAATAACTGAATAACCCAACCTGGCTGGCATGACTGCTGGCAGCTTTGGGATGGAAGACTTGAGCATCTCACAAATATTTAGGCACTATCTCATCTTGTATTTGATTAATGCCTAAGACTCAGAGAACCTATGTTTTTGCTAAAAAGCTCAGAAGTACACAAACATGGATACATACAGCATAGATTTCTAATCTCATGAGTATTTTAAAACCTAGATTTATAGAATCCCTCTACATAGAACATTCTAATAGTAGCCCGACACCTCTCTCACTTGGATGAAATCTGGGAACCAGAGAATTGAAATGCTCTGACAACACCAAGGGTGAGTAGGAAGCACAAGTCTCCCGGTCCCTGGATGTGGAAGCAATCTGTGATGTCAGGTGCCCTCTAAATGATGAGGGCCGAGGAAAATCTAGCAGTGAGGCTGGGGCTGTATGATGAAACTCGATTAAAATATCAATGGAGGCTCTGTGGTGCCTTAGAGATAGAAATCAGCAGTGCACATGCCCCCAAGTGCCAACCACAGTATGCATATGGACATAGGAAGATTCCTGCCATAAGCACTGTTACACAGTGTCAACCTAATTCATATCTGATGGTTATTTAACTATGTTCAATGGCACCCCAATAGAGGCATTTAATTGGAGATATACTATTTTATGCAAATTTCCAGTTTTTCATTTAATTGCTACAATAACTTTAAGTAGGCACTATTATTATTAATTTCCCTTACCCAAAAGCTTGTGTTTTACTGGGCTAGAGTGATTTCCTTCAGGTCTGGAATCAAAATCTAGACTCTTAAGTCCTGTATTCTGAAGCACTAGGACCTTTTCATTTCTGTCGCTTTTGGGGGCCACTCCAGGACTAACATCCAGATAATGGTCTGTTCTTTAAAGGAGTGTCTAGACGGCTCAGCAGGTCAAAGGGCTTGCCAGGTAGGCCTGGTGACCTGAATAAGCAATCCTGGAACCCCCATCAATGTGTAAAGAGAATAGAGGCCTCGGCCTTGTTCTCTACATGTGCAGCCTGCACATACATTTTTAAATTAAAAAAAAATGACTGAAGTTGTGTTGTTAACTAACAAGGTACTTTATTAAGATGAAGGGTTTCTTGCCTAAACATGGGTGCTCAAGCACGAAGCTCTAAATAGACTCAGTGGTCCACACACACAAGAAGGCAGGGAGGTGGGGGTGGGGGTTGTTGAGGAGAAAGCTTCTAGCAGGACGGGGAGGGGTCATGAAAATGGCCAGAATTCATTAAGACATGAAACTTCAAACAACATTTTTTTTAATTTAAGAAATCAGAAAAATGACAGGACAAAAGCAGCATCCCAACTTTAGGAAGAATTTCTCAACTCTTAATAAGTTTCAGTCTCAAAATTATTATTTTGCCAAAATTGTAACTATTTCAAATCCTAACAACATTTTTAAAAACCACAAAACATATTTGTATGTGCATGTATACATGTTAGAATGTGAGGAGATATGTATACACATGTGTGTGGAGGCCAGATGTTGATGTCCAGTGTCGTCTTCTATCACTCTTCACTGTATTTTTTTAAGACAGGTCTTTTCACTGAACCCAGAGCTCACTGATTCGTCAATATCAGCTGGTCACAGTAAGATCCAGGGTCCCCTTCCTCCACCTGCCCAGCACTGGGGTTAAAGGTGGATGTGACCACACCTGCCTTACTATAAATGTTAATTAACTGTGGGGTGGGAGGGTGATGTGTGATGTGTGTGATGTCAGTACCATGGGACGCATGTGGTCAGAGGATAACTTTTGGGAGTTGGTTCTCTCTCTACTTTTAAGTGGGTCCCAGGGGATTGAACCCAGCTTTCCAGATTTGTGGCACAAGCACTTTACTCGCTGGCAATCTCTCTTGCTAAAGAAGTAAGCTCTTTAAAAATACTTAAAAAAAAAAAAAACATTTATTTATTTATCCGTGGAATGTATGTGGAGTGTTGACTGAGAACATCCAGGAGGTTCTTGTTTTAATGTCTAGTTTTTAAAAAGAAACTCCATTAAGAACCAGACCATTGTCTGGATGTTAGTTTTGGAGTGGCCACTAAAGTGACAAAAAATGAAAGATCTCAGTGTTTCAGAACATAGTATTTAGAGTCATACTGTCCAGATTTCAATTCTAGAGCTGTAGGAAGTATTGTTCGCAGGACATTTTTCTGGAGAGATAATGAAGACTCAGTGGGCTTTTAAAAGCCATTCTGCATTTGTAAAAATACGCCATGAAGATAGCTTTGTGCCTATCCAGTGAAGAACTCCATGGATCAAATAACAAGACCTAAAGACCCTAACGTTCCCACAGAGTGAACTGTGTGTATAGTTCACTCCCCAAAAGCTTCCAGCTTTGGACACTTACCACTCAAAACCTTAACAGCTTTATCTCTAGTAACAAAAGCCTATTCTCAAAGCCTACAGGGAGAGAAATCTGTGAGATTTTTACGCAAAGTCCAGTGATGACTTTGTCTAACAGTGAAACTCCGCTGCTTCATATCCTAGAGAAATCACTGGAAGCCACTGTCTTCTCGCACGGGAGTTAGACACTCTCCTTTGAGATGCCTTCATGGGTTCTCCCAAGGGGCTTCGACAAGAGCTCTCCTTGCCCTTAATATGAACGGGAGACAGAACTGATGGCATTGGTTAATACAGAAGTATTTCCTGCACTTGACTATCATGGATAGAATCTATGTGAGCATGATAACTTAGGGAAAATCATTTGTAGTGCTTTGATTTGTAGATCTTTTTTTAAATTGGATAAATGTGTTTAAGACATGTGTAGCAATGTTCATGGTGATTGATGGAGGGGCAGGTTATGGTATTGAACCACTTGAAGTCAGCTAAACTATATTCCTCTGAGAGTTTCCTATAAGGTGTACCCATCAAACGCTGTGGTACAAAGGTTCATCTGGGGTTGTTCCCCCTTTCTCTAAGTTAAAATGTCAAGCTTTTATCAAGAAAAGCTTTCGAGGTGTCTGCAAAGCTGAAGACTGAACAAAGCCTTCAAAGTCAACCCTTCAGGCGTGGCTATATCGCATTCTACGAAAGTCAAGTTTTTAGTCTTCTTTAAAGAAGTCTATCAAAATCAGCTAGTCCCCGTTTAACTCTTTTTTAACTAATGCAACGGAATATGCAAGTTTGTTTGGAAAGAAAGGGCTAGGAAGGGAAAACACTTAGCTTTCATTTGTACAATCATTTTGAACATGCTTCTTTTGTTTCTTCTGAGGTTTCCCACTTGAGACCAAGAATATCAAAGTTTGTTATATTTCTGTATATAATTTAAGTGATTTATAATTGGTATAAACAATAAGCCTGTAAACAGCTTTTTGTGTTACAGCCTTGGATTTTTTTCCTCCTAAGTATTTATCCCAGCACTTGGGAGGCAGAGCCAGGCGGATCTCTGTGAGTTCGAGGCCAGCCTGGGCTACCAAGTGAGTCCCAGGAAAGGCGCAAAGCTACACAGAGAAATCCTGTCTCGAAAAAACAAAAAAAAATAAAATATAGATGTCTGTTAAATACCTACTGTCTTATAGTGTGTGTTTTCTCTGCTGTTTTTGTTTTAAATTTTAAAAATTATAGTTTATTGCTTGTTGTCAGATATGTGAGTGGAAAACACTTAATAACTCAGAGCAATGAACAAACCCACATCTACCCTCATTTCCCTCCGTACCAGCTCTCACCAGATGTTACATTAGTTGTTCAACTAGCTAATTCTAATCCATTGTTCATGCTAGCTGGAGTTAGTTATCTTGACATTTTGGAAAATCTGTTCTCAAAAGACCACACTCTATTGTGGCTTTGCAACCCCATGAAGGTAATACCATAACAACATCACAACTCTATAGACGTGGCTTTTGTCCCCTTTGAAGCAACAGGACATGATGCCTTTTCACAACCATAATAACTGTAAGTAACTCAGCTGCTCTAAGCACCATCTCTTCATTTAAAAATGGGGAAATAGGAACACTACAAATGATTACGCAACCTAAGTCTTTGTTATGTTGTTTTTTAAGCAGAATTCTCGGGGTTGTCTGATAATGAAGAAATTCTAATTGTCTGCAGAACTTTCATAAGGAAAGATACCAAATGTGAGACCTTACCTATGAGACCTGTATAAAGCTTTTCCAATGCCATTCCCATTCTGAGAACAAATGCAATAAAAACAACAGAGGAGAGATACAACGTCAAATAAGAGAGAAAGCCAGACAGGAACATCAAAAGGGCTGTGTTCATGTCTGGGTTGGTCATAGCCCGGGAGGTTCATCCTCAGCCCTGCACCCTCATCCCTGCTTGTCCCCCCCAGGACTGAAGACTTCAAGGTCATTGTGCTCCATTAGCACTGGACTTAGCGAACTCACTTTTTAATAAATAAAAGTGCATGTGTATATACTATTGTTTTTAAGTGATCAAATCATGAGTTGGTTCTATGCTTTCAGTGATGGCTCTATATGCCACTTGAGATTTAATTATTGGTGATTAAAAACCACACTTGAATGTTCTGGAATTTGTACACCTCTAAGAAATCAGATGTCTCAATTCTACAGTAATCTTGATTATTAGGCAAGTCTAAATAATTTTGTCAAGCAAACAATCTCTGTACGTTTATTTCAAGCTCTCACGTCTCCTTCCTGACTAGGTCTAGAACCACAGTGTGCAATAACAACAGCTATACTAACACAATCTTTAGTTTTGAAAATGCTGTGTTACCAAGAAATTAGTAATAGCCAACTTAGCCTAAAAAACTAAAAAGCCGTTTAGGGAAGAGTGAAAGTGATAACATGACTCAGATTTTATATGAACTTGATACAGCTCCTAGTGAATAATTCCACGTGATAGGATGCAGAGTTCATGTCTTCTGAGTTGTTACTTCTGCTCTCTAGAATTAGCATTCTGGTGTACACATTTTGGCATTTTCAAAGTACAGGAGACCCACTAAGTCAGGAATACCAATAGATCTTGTTTCTAAATTAATCACTGCTTCTGTGATTGATCTGTGCCCCTTTTTAGTTTGTAAAGTGACATGTTTAGGAGATTCTATGTAGCTCTTAGTTGGTTAATTTTAATATAACTATTATACATTATTACCCTCCTTTTTTAACATTTGATATTTCAACACTTAAAATGTCTTCATTCTAATGAATAGTACTTCTCTATTTTGTTTACTAAGTAAAATTAAATCTACCCCATACTTTTTAAAACATTTTTTTTGTATGTGTATGTGCACACATGCCCCCACATTCATGTGCTTCAGTGCATGTGTGGAGGTCAAAGGACAACTTGTAGGAGATGATTTTTTCCTTTTATAATGTGAGCTCCAGAGATCAAGCTTAGGTCATCATGCTTGGCAGCAAATGCCCTTACCCAGCTATCTCTCTGACCCATTTTTACTGTCCCCATCCATAAATACTTTTGATATTTGTAGTTCATGAGGATTATACCATTATTTGCATCTTTTAAATTTTCATGATATTTCAAGCAAATTAACACAGGGAGCTATGTAATAAATAAGTCTTAAGCTCTATGTTTACATTCTAAGTACTTTGCTGGGTATTGAAATACATTAAGATTCTGATATTTTAGGAAATAGTTTGTTTTCCAGTTTCTTTTGAGGATACCTAAAATTATGCTCATTGAGATGGCTATTCCAAATCCTGGAGTTTTAACGTATATCCATGTAGTTACCTAATCGTTATTTTGTCTTTCTCATGGAAAACATCATTTTTAATTAATTTTTTAGTCTTAATTCAGCAATGATTTACTATGTGGAGTGTCTACCAGTAGTAAATTCCCAACTTCTGTCAATCTGTCTTTAAAACAAGCACCATCGTTTTGGTTTTTTTTTTGTTTTTGTTTTTGTTTTTGTTTTTCGAGACAGGGTTTCTCTGTAGTTTTGCGCCTTTGTAGACCAGGCTGGCCTCGAACTCACAGAGATCCTCCTGCCTCTGCCTCCCGAGTGCTGGGATTAAAGGCGTGCGCCACCACTGCCTGGCTTCGTTTTGGTTTTTAATCCTCTATTCTTTCCCATCAATAGCCCAGTGGCTGTGGAGGTATAACCCCACAGTGGTCAGTAGAAGAGGCAGACCTCAAACCCAAGTCTAGAGGCTTCAACTCTGAGCCTTTCCACTGTCTTATCTATTTCAGAAGGAGATACCTGGAGAGTGGTCAATGGCCATGGAATCTCCAAGACAGGATCCATGCAGTACACAGGCTGGCCAGTGGCATTCCCCAAACACTGCCAATGGACCACACTAACTGCTGTGGTTTAGGTAAGGGAATCCTATGAAGGAATCCTGCCATAAAGTCACTAGGGACTATAAATAAGATAAACTCAAAAATTAAAGAGACTGTAATAACAGCATGATTAAACTTACCTGCAGAAACCTTGGGAAAAGATGATTTGACTCAATGCCAATATAAATGTGCAGCAGCTCCAGGAGGGAAATGGATTGGCAAACCCGCATAACCAGCCCGATAGCATAAAATGTGTCAACCATTGAATCTGTGTCAGTGAGTGACAAATAAAGACACGATGAGTCAAAACTGCATCAGAGCGTACATTTGTGGAGTACTGCAAAAATACAGCTGAGATGTAATTCTTTATTTTATGTGCAAAAAATCACTCTAAATAAGCTACTAAGTTGTAGCAATGAGATACATTCCTACCAAGTACTGTGGTACTTATAGGAAGCACATAGATACTTAGAGAAAGTATGTATAGTTCTTTTTAATTGGTCCTCTTCCAAAAAGAATTGAAACTTACAAAATCTTCACAGCCAGAGTTATATTTATTCCCAGTATATGAGATTCCCATGCTATTCCCACACACATGTAATCAGACAGAATCTAAACCCCTGGTGTGTAGATATTTTGGGGTAAACTCACTAAAAAAATCTGCTGTGCTCAGCTTTTTCATTGACAAGAAAAGGAATAGAAAACTGATTCAGAGAAATTCTGTAGAAATGACCCTGCTGATGCTACGATGCCAGACACCAGGTCTCTCTGCACTTCAGGCCGGCACACATCGCACTAGTGACTCTGGCCTTGTTTTAAGCACTGAACTTTGGAGTTGGCATTGTGAGAGTCTATAACTCAGATGTTCCTGAGCAGGAACTGAATAGAAGGGAACTGATGGCCCTCTAAAGACAAACTTGTTGCTTTAAGATCTTAAAATCTGGAGACTTCTGCTGGTAAGTTTTTTATTTTTACTGCTTCCCAGCATTTGCATGATTATAATTGACCAGGCACTGGGGTTTATCCTCTTGCTGTCTCTATAAGGTATGGATGCTGTCATCATCATACTCCTCTCAGAGACGATTCCTGACACACCAAGAGCCCACACTCCTACCCACTGCCTGTACCATTACACAACCCTGACAGAAAAAGGTAGTGGGTCACACAAGTTCACTTGTTCTCAACCTGGGGGTTGAACATCCCTTTCACGGGGGTTGCATATCAGATACCCTGCACATTAGATATTTACATTACAATTCATAACAGTAGCAAAACTACAGTTATGAAGTAGCAATGAAATTTTATGGTTGGGGTCACCACAACATGAGGAACTGTATGAAAGGGTCACAGCATTGGGAAGGTTGAGAACCACTGGCCAAGGAAATGGAACTGGTCTCCTATTCCAGCGTTCTCAGTCTTCCTTTCAAAGGAAAAAACCACTTAGGTTTCTCTAATCATACATAGCTGCTACAATTACAGTGGCGTATCATAAAGATATTGACGAATAAAGCCTCATTCCACAATGGTGGGCTGTATGAGAATTCTTGCTTGGGGCACAGGAGGTAAGTGAACTGTAGTTTGCCCACATAGCCTCACTTAACCTATGGAAGTGATGGCTTCCCACCACTTGTATGGCGGCTTCCTTCTGCTTGACAACTCATGGTGGGCGTAGCTAACACTCAAGCCTTCTGCTGTAGCTCTGAGACTAACAAGGCAAGAACTGTGTACCTTTTCAGTAAGACTGAGAAACATAAAATGGTTTGTGACAGCCCAGGAGATGGGATGGGTTTCCTTGTGATACACGACTCTCAATTGATGAACTCAGCATGGTTTTTTCCAGTCATGTTCGTGTTTGTTTTTAGCTCAACCAGCAGTTGTTCAAACTGTCGAGTCACCAAACAGTTGTAAACTGTGATGACACTTACTCATGTGGGGATGGGACACAGAGGGAATGTTGTTTTGATAGTCACTTGGTGATTCATTCTTTAACAATCTGAAATGAATAGTTTAAAGAAACATCCCGACTTTTTAGGAAACTGAAGGAAGCTTATGATTCAAGTCATCAATACCAACTCCACATAGGTGACCAGTCATCAGTGTGCTGTGTCACGTACATATTACTAAAGGGATCCAACAGGGGCGTGGGGGATACAACATTTGTCACTCAGTTACTGGTAATCCTCAGCTACCCTAAACCCAGGGAATGAAAATCAATAGAAGGATTTCATTAATTTCTCATTGCTTTGCACAGAATGTCAGGCTGGAATTTACAGAGTCCTCAAAATGCATTAAATTTGCCTGTTTGGTACAGGACCAAAAAGAAACATCCCAAAGATACTGCTTTGCTTTCAAAGCAAATTGCCTGCTCTGGGACAAGACACATCCTTTCTTCCTTCTGCCTACTACAAAAAGGTTTCAGGTTGAAATAATAAAGTATGGTTATAGGAAAACAAACTGTAGAGAAGTGAATGATGCCAGGTGTGCTGCACAGAAGTTCAAAATTAAAATCAGCAGGACGAGATGAAAACAAGGAATAAAAGTTAAAAATCAAAACTGTTTAAGAGTTTTACCTTTTCCAAAGGAGAAGAATCTGGCTGTCATATTTGTCAGTATCCATGAGTGGCCACAGAACTGGATTAGGTAATAGATGAAAAGGTACACATTCTTTCTATACCTATGAACACAGGGAAACGCCATTAAACAGGTCTTTTAATGCATCAGTCAAGCCGAGCAAGCAGAAGGAAAGCTCCATGTCGGAGTTCTGTATTAGGGTCTTTCATTGTGTTGGCTCTCCAAACTCATTAAAGTTTGATGGGAGGTTATTTAATACGAGCGTATTGATTGAGATTGCTGAAAACCAAAGATAGTTGTTTTCCAAACTTCATTTTCATCTTTGATAAAATTCTAACCTTGTTTCTCTAACACCTACTGTCACTAAAAAGATAGCTTTGGATTTTCGAAGGGACAGGGAAGGAGCACGGATGGATGCAAAAGGACTGATTTGGGCAACTTGCAGCCCAGTCCGCTAGGCTTGTTAAATGATCAGAGGGGTGTGGTCACAACTGGGCGACTCAGTAATTGGACACACCTGACTTTCGAGTACCTTGTGATTAGGTTACTCTCTTCTCGCCACCACCTCCTGTTGTATTTTACCAGAGAAGCCAGTTCCCTTCAGCAGACACACATAGAAAGCAATTTAGTTGCTCAAGCCAGGGAGGGGAAAAAAAAAAGGAAGTCAAGCTGAGTGCAAAAAAATGTGTTGTGGGTTGCTGGGGAGACGACTAAGAGAAGATTGACAGATCCTTGGTCCCAGGGAGTTCCAAAAGGCGGTGTTTGAAGGGCTCCCTGGTGTGCAGAAGGATGGCTGGAGTGGCCTTGTCAGCCTAAAGAAGAGCTGCTCTTAGCTGGAGATGGGAAACCTCTGAGAAACAAGGTATATAAACTGGGAAGCCGATTCTCTGGAGTAGTCAACAGATGACCAAAACTGCTAAAGGGATTAGAAAGGAAAACTCCAACCCAACCAGAACCACCTGGCTGTAAACACACACCCCGGGCACTAGTTTGCCTGGAATCCCTCCTGTGATGGGCGCTGCTGCCACCGGACGCTCTGAAAAATCACCCTGCGCCGAAGTCTAGAGCGCAGCAGGGACGAGGAAGAAGGGAAGAGCCAGTGGGAATGCACAGAGAGGTGGCCAGGCCGCTTGTCCTTCCATTTCCTCATCTCCAAATAAAAAAAAAAATTTAAAAAAAAAAAAGAGGGAAACGGGAGCCTCCTTCCTGAGTTTATGGAGAAAGTGCGATCCGCTAGCACCAGCAGTAAATGTTGAGCAGAGTCAGGGGCGTCGCCCATGAGTGGAAGCCGGTGGGTGGGCGTCTTCCCAGTGCCCTGGCCCCTCCCTCCCCGCCGCCCCGCGCCCTACCTGGGCTGCTGCCAGGTGGGCAGCACCGAGGGCCCCATGGGCCACAGTTTGCACCTCCAGCGCCTCCGGGAAGCAGCAGGACTCGGCAGGGAAGGCAGGAGGGGCGGTCCCCGGGCTGCGCACGGAAGGGCGGGGCTTCAACACACTCAGCAAGTTTTTCTGTTGTTGTTTTGTTTTGTTAAAGGTCGTGAGATGGACAGGAGATGAAAGCCAAGTACCTGCCATGCTGTTCTAGTATAGCTGGCTGGGGCACGGAAAGTACGCGGGATGAACAGACACACCCTCATTCCAGGTTTACCAAACTCACCACAGGCTCCTAATGAGTGGGTGGAGACCGTTAGGAAAGCTTAACAGGCTCTAACTAGCCTCCAGGGTGCAGGGATAGCATAGTGGCCTGACCTTCTCTTAGAAACCCTAGAAGAATGCACAGAAGCATAGGAGAATGCCAGGGAAGCTAGTGGCACTCAGCCCAACACTTTCTTAAACAGGGGTCAGAGTCCCCCAGAAGTCCATCCCTGACACCCAGAGCCCTGGGTGACAGTGATTTGCACAAATGCACGTTATTCGTCTTTCACGCCCGTTTCCTAGTTGCTTGGGGCAATGGCATCCTCACCTCCCGGGTCAGGAGCATCTTCCAGTTACTCTGTTTTTGCCAGGAAAAGGGAACAAAACAGTCCCCAAAACGCTTTTTCCCAAAACAACAACCCAAATAGGTGGGCCAGTTACATACAGTTACTGGAGTAGGAAGGTAGAGCTGCCATCTTACCAAAAAGGAAGTTGTGGCTTTAAGAAATATTGTCACTCACCACAGGTCACACAGCTGATAAACAGCAGAGTTAGAAGTCGGAGTCAGCAAATTTTCTTCTTGTGCCATGGTTTCCTTCCTCATAGCTGTCACTCACTGGGTCTGCCTCTTGAAGTGTCCTACTATTCTATGCCCTCGGCCAGGGGCAAGCTCCCCTGTAGCCTCAGTCACTCCTCAAAGCCATTGCCGGTGGTTTCGCTGTCTGCTCTGGCGTCTTTATTCCCTCCTACACACTGACTTTCACAGCTGTTTAAGAACATATTCATGGCACATGTGGTGGTTCACACCTGTAATCCCAGCATTCCAGAAGCTGAGGCAGGAAGACGATCACAAGCTCAAGATCAGCCTGGACTACATAATGAGTGCCAGGGCAGCTGGGTACACAGGGAGACCCTTTCTGGGGGAGTGTGGGGGGGAGTGGAGGCACATTTTCAAATCTAGAGTTCCGAATTCACTTTTTCAACACCCCCCCCGCCCCCCACAACGCGTCATCATCCAGGGCCCACTCTCCTTCCCCATCACCCTCCTTATTCCATGCACCTTACAGTTTGGCCTCCCAACAGTCCTGAAAATGCCCTCAGGGTTCCCTGAGTCCCCCGTACTGTCCCTCAGTCTTTGCTTATAGGAAGTGAGCATCTGAGCTAAAGGCACACTGATACCCAAGCAAACACAGGTGAGTAACTGTTTCCAGAGCCATCTGTGCCCAGAAGTGAGATAGAGTTTCTGGATGGACTGAGCTGGCCGGGCAGGAAGTCTACCAGAGAAGAGATCCTTTATCAGAAAACACTTCTTCATCCTCCCCTCCCTCCTCCAGTTCTGCATACAGCTCTGACTTCTTTGAAAGCCTCCTCCCTCTGCTCCCTCAGAGGCCTTCCCTTGGTCAGTTTTTCTGTTCATCTCACTGCCCTTCAGCAGAGACAACCACCGCACATGGCTTCAGTCCCTACAGATTTTCCCATTTGCTTTCACTTGTCCCGATTCTCTTCTGAATACCAGCTCTGGCTTTGGAACAGATTCTGGATATTTCATTGTGAAAGTCTTACCATTACTTCCAGTTGGAAGTGCCTTACCACCTTTCTTCCTAGACCATTGCCTAATTTCCCATAGGGGGGCCACCATTCTAACAGCTACTTCCATTTAAAACTTGGGTGTCCTTGTCTCCCCATCCAGCCCAGTCCTATGGATTAGAGCGGCTGCTAACTTCCCACATGCTGCTCTCAACCCAGTCTGCATCATCACCACATCAACCTCCTGGATCATCACTTGATCACTTGCCTCACATCTTTCTGATGCATCAAAGATTCCATTTTAGTGGCAGCTGAAAAACAGGCCAAGGAACCAACAAAACTAACAACAACAAGATCTTTCCAGTCTAGCAGGGAATCGGCTGTGGGATGATCCTTCTGTAAGCTGTGAATGTGTGTTGCTCTCATTGGTTAAGAATAAAGCTGTTTGGCCTATGGGGAGTCAGGATAAGGTTAGGCAGAACAACCAAACTGAGGACTGAGGGGAAGATTGAGGGGAGGAGCTGCCCAAGAAGCCAGGTGCCAGAGGACTGGGAAAGCCACAGCCACGTGGCATACATAGATTAATAGAAATGGGTTAATTTAAATGTAAGAGCTACTTAGTAATAACCCTAAGCCATCGGTCAAGCATTTATAATTAATATAAGCCTCTGTGTGGTAATTTGAGAAGCAGCTGCCTGGTATTTGGGACTAGGCGGTCGGGGCAGAAAACTCTGCCTCTGTTTACAGGAATCCTATCTTATTTTCCAAGGGAGAGGTACAAGAATAGTTTATGAGAAATTAGTCTAGATGGGAAGTGAAATTCCCTCCTCTCTTTGGAAAACTATGACACACATGGTCCCCAGGCCTGGTCAATGATATCGAGCTAGCTTCTTCCTACCTCCCTACTTCCTTCTCTCACCTCCTCCAGCCCAGACAGAGATTTGTGGAAGGCTGCAGAAAGCATTTCTTCCTCTTTGTAATGTGTTTGATTTTGAATTGTGTGTGAGAGTACAGGTGCCTGTGGAGGCTAGGGGCGTGCAACCCTCTGGAGCTGGACTTACAGGCAATTGTGAGCTGCCAGAAATGGGGGCTGGAAACTGAACCTCAGGTCCTCTGCAAGAGCAGTATTGGCTCTTAACCACTGGGCCATCTCTCCAGTCCCCAAACAGCATTTCTTAAACAATTCTTTTGCTGGCCCTCCACACCTGTGACCCACGAGCATCTCCTGCCATCCTATCATTCCTTGTTCTCTGACTAGGTGCTCTCTGTCCCTGCACCTCTATCCATCCCCACCCCCTGCTTTGCGTTGCTCTCCCACCTCCCCTTCCCTTCTCACAGACCAGCATTTACCTGTCAGAGTTCTATTCACACTTGAAAGGCTTTCCCGGAGCTTCCTGTGGGAGTCACACTGGGTTAATGTATGTCTACAATGACACATACCTTAGTGTATCATTACCCAGGTCCTCCCTCCTCAGCTAGATTATAGATTCCAAGAAAGCTCTGTGTCTTGTTCTAACAGTGGGAACCTGGCACGTTTATACCTTCAGAAACACAGCTTCTTTTGTGAGAAGCATGCAGCTGTTGGGAGGATTAAGCAATAAAACATACAGGCAAAAGAGGCTCACAGCATTGCGCACAGTGGCCGGAACAGCAGGTGTCTATTACAGGACTGAGGATGGATGAACCAGGTAAGCCTGGATTTTCCTGTCCCAGAATTTTAACAAAATGAACACTTGGTGACGGTTGCCATCCTGAAATGTATACCGTGAACTTCCAGTTACCTGTTTATATGGGGAAAATGGTGGCCGGTTGGTCCCATTAACTCTGAATGTATATAGTCTTGTCTTTGGAAGGAGATTTTTTTTTTTTAATTATTGGAACACTTCAGTTGTGTTTCCCTTGGGGAAATATTTACAGTGTTACTCATCCTAAAGAACCTCAGATGGGAATCTTGAAAAAATACTCCATGGTAGTGAGACTAGCTCCAGATTTAAACAGAAACATGAGGAACGGACAGAGTGTGCTGTGAGCACAGATCCCTCAGAGAAACTACATCTAGTGACTGAAGATGGAGATTTGGTACTTATCCACCCAGCCACATCTACCTCCCTTTCTCTTCTTCCCTCTGTCCCTCCCTCCATCCATCCATCTTCCCTCTTGATTTGTTTTTCCTCTCTCTCTCGCTTGGGCAGCAAGAGAAGAGAGGCTCTGGGCCAATAACTCTTCAATCCATTTTTCTCTTCCCTCAGCCAGAAATTCTATAGGAGCCGATTCCTGTCTTACAGTGATGACATTTGCTTTTCTCATTTATTTCTACTCCCTGGAATTATTAGGATTCACCACTTCCCCACCTCCAGTCCTACTGCACAAATTGCTTTCCCTGGTTGCTGGGATGGTGCAGAACCTTAGACTCCTGTCAGTCACCTCATCTCACAGGCGCCAACAAACTCCTTAAAGCTACCCCAAGATCTCTTTCTATAGTACTTTGCAGCAGTCCATTTATATTTTCTCCATCCTTTTCGTATTATTAGGGTATTAATTAGAAACAGCTGCTTACTGTGACTGCCTGGGCACACTCTCAGCTCTGTTGTCACTTCGTCACAGCTGAAACTCCTATGTCTACCTCTCTGCAGAACTTCGACCATCTTTCCATAACCACCTCATTCAGAAAGCCAAATATTAGACTAAGACTCTGCCTTGTGTCATCTTTTTGTTTGTTTGTTTGGGGGGCCTTTTGTTTTTGTTTTTCGATATAGGGTTTCTCTGTGTAGCTCTGACTGCCCTGGAACTCACAGATTTGCCCGCCTCTACCTCCCGAGGGCTGGGATTAAAAGTGTGCACCACCACCACCTGGCTCTCATCATATTTCTTTAATACAACCCCTGTCCCATTCAGAGCCATGCAGAAGCCAGCTGTTTGTTCAGCTTCATTTGGTTTGGGTTTTTGAGACAAGTTCTCACATTGCAGCCCAGGTTGGAATAGGCTCACTATGTAGCCTAGGCTAGTCTCAAACTCACCACAGTGCTCTGTCTCAGCCTCCTGAGTGTTGGGATTACAGGTGTGAGGCACCACAGCTTAGAGCAATCTCTTTTTTGATTCTGTGCCGTGGACACTGTCCTCATTCTGTTCTCTTTTCAGTTACTGACCTCTAGCTGCATCTGTTTTACAGTGCTTTCCTCTGCCTCCCTGTAATTCTCAAGAGCAACCAAAGCTGTGGGAATGCTTCTTACCATAACTTTGTAAGTGCAGAAACTCAGTCAGATCTATAAAAGGTGCAGGCAAGGTTGC